TCTCTACCACCTAAGCCATGTTTGTACCATTTACATTTGCATCCTGCAGTCGTGCCTTCTGTCACCTCCAATGCTTTCCTGCACATCCACTCCAATTTGTATGAACCTCTGCAGTCTGTAACCTAGTGTAAGTGAAGCGTGCTTATCACTGTCCTTTGTTAACCTGCAGTTTACTCCGTGCACCCGTATGATCAGATTGAAAATTTCATCCTTGTGATTGAGTTTCTAACTTCATCCAGCCTCAAGTGATCTTCCTCCACTAGCCACTCCTCAGGGTTTCATCTTGTGTGTATACCCCCTGACCTTAGCTGCCTGGGTCAAGAACCCATGTCTTCCCTAAATGTTTATGCCTCCTCCTCGTGCACTAAGATCCTGTTTGACCAAGGTTTCCCCCCTAATATTTCTTTTGGCTCAGTTTCTGTTTGCTCATTCAAGCAGTGCTTTGGGTCTCTTGAAATTCAGTTCAAGTATAATGTGTTTTAGTGCAATACGTTCACTCACTCTCAAAGTGGCACCGACCTCATTGCATTAAGAGATGTACTGATGCAGTCTTTTCTTTTAAAACTAGGAGTTGTTTTATGATTGGGGAAAGATCTTATCAACTTTAGTCTTTTAATTCTGCAAAAACACCTCACAAATAGAATAGACCACAGAGGCCTGTTTTGAGTATCTGTCTCGCATGCTGCCCAGCCTTTTAAGGGAGGCCCCACACTACCTGCTCCCATCAAGAAGGCTTGTCCAGCCCAGTTTCTGGTCAGAGAGCTTGTATTATATCTTTTTCCAAGACACTATGCCAGTCCTGATGGCCTGGATGCTCTGCCTCTCAAGGTGTTTAGACCGATTAGCGACATAAGATTGCGTAGCATTAACTGCTTCACAGCTAGTATGTTCTCAAACTTAATGTGCACTGTTTCCCAAGAAAAACTTCCTTGAATCTCAAAATAATCTGTGTCGAACCATACAGACAACAGTCAGGTAGTTGGCCTCATAGTCAGGTCTGGTCTTCTGATCACCATTCGGATTTAGAGTTATCAATTTTTGATGAATTAGAGCAAATGTTTGGTTTTTGCCTCGTATAGCTTTTAAAATAAATTGCGTACAGAGTTGATTTGAGGCCCCTTTTCTACATGAGCATACACGTTTCTGTTCTTAAGTATATCTGTCTCAATTGGGTTTAGATTGCACCAAAGCTGTAGCTTCAGTGAGTGGGGTTCTTCGGCTTGTAGCCAATTATTTTCTGTTTCTGTCTTCGATTGGATTCAATTACTATCTATTGACTTGTTATCCTGTAACTTCTTTTAAAAAAAAATGTTCAGGACTGTTACAGGATTGCCAGTGTTTGTCACTAATTCTTAACTGCCTTGAAGATGACAGCATGTTCGCCTTTTAGAAATGGCTACATTTTTTGTCTGGTGCAAGTACATTTGAAGTGCTGCTAGTGTCCTAATTCCAGGACTTTGAAACTTTACTATTGTTGAGACGGCCATGTGTTTCCAAGTTAGGGTGGTGTGGTTTGGAGGAGATCATGTGAGTAATGGTGGTCCTATGCATCTGCTGGTCTTGTTCCTCTAAGCAATAGAGCTTGAGATTGAAAGGTGCTGTCCAAAAGCCTTGGTGAGTTGATGCAGTGTATCTTGTAGATGATATGCACTGTGACCTGATTAAGCTACTTCATCATGCTCCTCTACCTTCAAGTCTAACTTAGAACTACATGTGTGTTTGTTTTTTTTTCTCTCTCTCTCCTCTTAACCTATGCCTTCTAATTTTGGACTCCCACCCCCCCCACGCTCTAGGGAAAAGACCTTGCTTATTCATCCTATCCATGCCCCTCATGATGTTATAAAGCTCCATAAGGCCATCTCTAAGCCTCCAAAATACCAGGGAGAATAGCCCCAGCCTATTCAGCCTCTCCTTATAGCTCAAACCCTCCAACCCTGGCAACGTCTTTGCAAATCTTTTCTGAACCCTTTCAAGTTTCACAACATCCTTCCTACAGCAGGGTGACCAGAATTGCACGCAATACTCCAAAAGTGGCCGAACCAATGCCCTGTACAGCCGCAACATGACCTCCTATGCTGAATGCCCTGACCATTAAAGGTAGACATACCAAATGCCGCCTTCACTATCCTATCTACCTGCAGCTCCACTTTCAAGGAACTATGAACCAGCACTCCAAGGTCGCTTTGTTCAGCAACACTCTCCAGGACCTTACCGTTAAGAGTATAAGTGCTGCCCTGATTTGCCTTTCCAAAATGCAGCGTCTCACATTTACCTAAATTAAACTCCACCTGCCACTCCTCGGCCCATTGGCCCATCTAATCAAGATCCCATTGTACTGTGAGGTAACCTTCTTCACTGTCCACTACACCTCCAATTTTAGCGTTTTGCTGAAAAATCCTACGTGTGCTAAGAGCTGCACTAACAACCAATTTAATATTATTAGTCAAGCTTACGATGTAGCTAACTTGCACTTGCTGTTAGCGATATATATTCAGATGTGGGCCCCTTTTAAGCAGTGTGGCCATGCAGTCACTTGGAGATCCAACACACACTGATTCACTGTGTCCCGCATGTAGAAGTCACTGTCACTGTAGCTCTGAGATCTGTGCAGCGTGAAAGAAAATGAAGGAGAACATAGGCCCTGTCTTCTGCACACAATAATTGTATCCTTTTCAATTAAATAAAACCTTAATGCCAGCTGTTTTCTGGTACATTCTTCTTTGCAATACCCTGACCAATCAACGTCCACTTGCCAACCAATCGGATTTTTTTCTCTCAGGCAGTATGAATTGTTGTTCCCTTTGAAACTTGGCATTCTTCTATCCTGATGAGTGCAAGATGAAAATCTTCAAAAGTGTGCCTTGTTTTTTCTCCCCCCAACCCCAGTAACATTCCAGTTCTGCATTACTAAGTAACTGTCTGTGTTACAGAAAGCAAAGGGCAAATATGGAGTTGTGCAGAATCTCACTGAAAACGGTTTTCCAAGTCGCACAAATAACTTTTGATGTTTACCCTTTGATTGCTGTCAGTGAGCCAGTTTTATCCAGTTAGCCACTTTGTTTTAGATTCCCAGGGGTTCTCATTGTTTAGACCAGCCTGTCGTGTTTGCGCCACATTAGCCAGCTTGCTGAAAACAAAGTCAGCCACATCAAATGCACAACCCTCATCAACCCTCCTGGAAATTCAGTGAAATAAATTAGACACAACCTTCCCTTAACAAATCCATGCAGTCTGTCCTTGTTTAATCTGTGCCTTTCTAAATGATTTATACTGTACCTCAGAAATTTTTGCCCTGTAATTTGTCCATGCTGACAGGCCTGTAATTATTTGGCTTATCCCTTTTTTCATAAAAAGGAAATGTATAAAAAATTAATAGTTCTCCACCACCATGCCTGTAGCCAGATAGGATTGACTATTTCTGTCTGTTTCTATTTCAGAGTGATTCTCCCTGACTCTGGGTACTTACATAGTTGGCCAGCAAGAGCTGCTGACTGCAGGCGGGGAGGGTCACAGTAATCACTACATTGACCTCGAAGATGGCAATTGGCCCAGAGGTCAGGGGTCAGAGCAATGCTTTGTTCCACCTTTTTTTTGTTTTCCCCTCCCGAGAGCTCCTATGTCTGAAGCCTGTGTCGATTTACCCCTGAATCAAGTCGCCGTCTTTAGCCTGACGGTTAGGGTGCAACTGTCAGTCATATAAAAGGTAGGATAGATGCACAAGCTCCTGCCTGTGTTGCACCTCAGAGCCCTGCAGTTTTCATTGCCCAAATCTCCCCCCCC